CCCCTCCCCGCCCCCTACCCCCCATAGAGTATCTCTGGTTCATAGTTTTTTGTTGATTTTGATTTTCACTTTCTTATAGTTATTCATTTTCCTGGTCCCTTATTTAAGTTTTCTAGATTCCTGCTATGAGTGAGACCATCCGGTATTTTTCTTTTTCTTTCTGGCTTATTTCGCTGAGCATGATCCCTTCCAGCGCCATCCATGTTGCTGCAAATTGCATGTGTTTATCTTTTTTGAATGCTGAGTAATATTCCCTGGTGTATATGGACCACATCTTCTTGATCCAGTCATTTATTTTTGGGCATTTGGGCTGTTTCCAAAGCTTAGCTATTGTAAACAGTGCTGCTATAAACATAGGGGTGCAGGTGCTCTTTGGAATGGATGTTTCTGTGTCCTTTGGGTGAATACCTAGGAGTGGAATTGCTGGATCCTATGGAAGCTCTATGTTTAGTAGGTCCAGAAATCTCCACACAGCTCTCCATAGTGGTTGGGCCAGTTTGCACTCCCACCAGCAGTGCAGGAGAGTTCCTTTTTCTCCACACCCTCGCCAACATTTGTTGTTGCTAGTTTTTTTAATATGTGCCATTCTCACTGGTGTGAGATGGTATCTCATGGTAGTTTTGATTTGCATTTCCCTGATGACAAGTGATGTTGAACATTTTTTCATATGCCTGTTGGCCATTTGCATTTCCTCTTCAGAGAAGTTTCTTTTTAGCTCTTCTGCCCATTTTTTGACTGGATTATTTTCTTTGTTGTTGTTGAGTCTCATCAGCTCTTTGTAGATTTTTGTGATCAGTCCTTTATCATTAGTGTTGTGTACTATAAAGTCAATTCACAATTATTTTTCTACTATTTCTATCTATTTCCCCCACAAATGCTGTCTTCACACAAAACACGGAGTGTGGCTGTCTCTAGAGGAAATCCTGAGGATTTACACGGCCCTGGAACCTTCTGTCCTCTGTCTGGGTTGTTCATGGAGCCTTTTTCTCCCTTGAAGAAGAGCGTTGGCTTGGTTGAGCACTGTCACTGTGGGCGCAGAGGGTAATTAAGTGGCCCACTGGGTGTATGGCTGGATGTGATGGGAGCCTCACCGTCTAGATTTTCCACCTTCTTCCTCCTGACCTGTGTCTGCTGCATGATGCATGGAATCTTCTATCACTCAACAGAGTTGTTTCCAGGCGAGGCACTCAGGGCTGAGTGCCACGTCTGTCTGTCTGTGCCTTTTTAAAGACATCTTAGGAAATACAATTGCTCTTGAATCTTGCTTGCGACTTGGTTTCTCGAAGGGATGTTCAGGCAGCAGGTGCAGAATTACTGGCCACGGGATTATTGCTTGCTCCTAATTTCAGATCCAGTTCAGATCCTCATTTACTGACCTGCTTTGATACTTGACTTTAAGTTGAGCTCAACTGCAGAGAAATGAGATCACTAAAGACTTAGCAACATTCCTGGACAACATCTAGCATTATTCCTGGACCTCACATACAATCTAGGAATCTCAAACAAGGGAAACATTCAGGTCACAACTAGTTTTTCTGATAAAACATTTTCAACTGAAAAGGAAGGGTGGGTGGGCGGGCGGGTGGGAGGGTGGAAGGCATCTGTACTGTCATCAGGATGAAACTTGGACCCATTTCTTTCCTCCTGGGGGTGCTGGGCTGGAGGAGGGGCTGGGGAGCAGGTGATGCTTTCTTTCCCCAAATGTTAGGAAAACATTTCCATGGGCAGGAGATTGGATTCATTAATGTCTCTGGCAGGAGATGCCCAGCCTTATGTGAAGTGATTTCTGGGACATTGTTCTACTGAGGGTTCTGGATGGTAAAGAACAGTAGTAGGTTTCTGAAAGTAGCTCAAGTGAAGTGGGTTTTATTTCAAGCATTCAGGAGGCTCTCAGGAAACCCAAGTTAGAAGAGTGAAGGTCAGTCCCTCCTGAGTAGGAACTCTGAGTTGGAAGCTCACTGGCCCCTCCCCACTCATCACTCAGAGGTGCACGTCTTCAGTCTTGGCCTCTGTCTACAAGCGTGGTCAGTCCTGTTTTCCTCTGCTTTGACTCCCGCATGACTCTGAAATGGTTCAGCTCTGAATGGAGGACCTCCTCATTAGCAGGGGTTCAAGTCCTTCCACAGCAGAAGCCAGACCTCAACTCCAGGCTTGTCCCCTCATGAGGTCCATGGAGAGGGCCAGGTATGGTGCCACATGTCCAAGCTGCAGTTCCACTTAAAACCAGAAATGCTCTTACTGGCCCCAGAGCTTATCGGAAGTCATCTCCGTGGCTCACTCAGGTCAGAGAGAGAGAGAAAACCTGGCAATCCCAACTCATCTGGCTGTGTCCCAACACATGCTCTGGTCTCCTAGTGCTGAATGGATTGGCAGTGCTAGCACCCAGGTGTTTTGCCTGCTCAATCAGTGGTGGGCTGGGGGAAGGAGAGAGGACCCTGGGCCCCACATCATTGGATATCTTCTTAAGAACAGCTTTTAGTAAGGAATTAAGACTTTCATCACCAATGACCCAAGAGGCTTTCAATTTAAAGTTTACTGGGAGACCTTCATTTACACCGGTTTATACTAAAAGGTGAATGACTGATAAATGCATTCTATCTAAAGGCATCTAGTCATTCCACAATCAATTACTGAGTCCCAAACATGGTGACTCTGCTAGTTTTGGGAATATTTTTAGTGAAAGGATAGTTCCTGAGTTCTTGAAGGAAGGAAGATGCCTAGAAAAAAGGATGCAGAGAAAACGTAGGTTGGTGGGAAAGAGCATATTATCTTCGCTTATAAACCAAGTGTTTTACCTTAAACTCTTCTGAGCCTGAAACTGATCAGCCCAGGCTTGGACCTGGAAGCTGCTCTCCAGGCCCGCCAGGTAAATCCCCAGGAGAGCTACAAAGTGTAAGATTACAGGAAAGAGCAGGCCAGGGGGAAATCCCAACCAGTAGGAGCATTTCTAGTTTTAACAACTGGACATGTGGCACCATACCTGGCCCTCCTGAAGGACCTCATGAGGGGACAAGGCTCTGGAGATGCAGGTTTGGCTTCTGTTGGGGAAAGACTTGAATCCGTTCTAATGAGGACATCCTCCATCCAGAAAAACAAAAACATACACAAAAAAACAAAACAACAGGTTGCCATCCACCCAGGGGTCATTGCCAATAAACACCCCCTCCATGAATACCTAGTCAGTACATTTCTGGGATCTCTGAAGGGCTTATGGGGATGATGCTTTGATTCAAGACACCAAGCCTGCCCTCTGGCAGCCGGAGATCTAGACGGACTTTGGAAAGGTAGTGACATGACCCCAGGGTCCTTCCTGGGGACCTTCCTTAGCTGAGTCCTGCCTGCTCAGAAAGGCAAGAGACTTGGGCAAGCTCCACAGCAGCCCATCTCCACAGAGCCGAGTCCTTCCTCCCAGTGGTGGCTGCGGAAGAGGAAGATAAATCTTGCCAATCAGAGGCCAAGATGGCAGTGGGGTGGCTGGGAGGGGAGGGCCCCACATCAAGAGGGGAGAAAGGTGCTGCGTTCTCAGGAACCAGGGGGCCTTTTCTAGGCGAGGGTTCCAGGGACTTCTTCTTGCTGAGTCAACTCCCTCGCTCCCTCGCGCTCTGGCCGCGCCCCGGGCAGATGCGCGCGTGGAGCGGGCAGGGCGCCCCTGCGGCTTCTGACTCTCCTCCCCAGAGCTGAAGGCGTCCGGTGCCTCCTCCCAGCGGTTTCCACCGGCTGGAGCCCGCCGGGAGGTTTCCCAGAGCCTGCGAGGCCCCAGGGCTCCGGGGCAGCCGCTGTGGCTGGCGCGGCTGGGACGCCGGCGGGTGCCCAGGTCCCAGGGGCGGCCACGCCGAGCCCCCGCCGCGCGCTCGGCCCCGCAGCCCCGGCGGGCAGCGCCGCGCTCCGCTCGGAGGGCGCCGGGCGGCGGAGTCCCGCGCCGGGGAGGGGTGAGAGCAGCCGCAGCCCCCGCCCCGCGGGTCCAGACCAAGGAGGGGCGAGCAGGCGCGGAGCGGGGGGCGAGCGCGGGGCGGCGGGCGCCCCTCTCCGGGCACACAGTCTCCGCGCCGCGCCCGCGCGTCTGGGTGGCCTCCGACCTGGGGACCCAGCGGCGCCGCGCGCCCGGCTCGTCCTGGGGTGCGCGGAAGGCCGGGCGGGAGCTGCTCGGTGGGGCCGGCCCGACGACTCCCCGTTTCCAGGAGCCGCGGGGTGAGCTGGAAGCCCACCCCGGCCGGACGCCGCGCGCCTATAAATAGCGCGCGTGTGCCCGCGGCTGCTCTCCGCGCCGCGCGAGGACCGCGAAAGTTGTGCGCAGGGACCGGGGCGCGCGGCGGAGGCTGGAGACGACCCGCGGCCGAGCCCGCCTGCGCCCCCGGACTGCGCCGCCCGGCCGTGCCTTCTGCGCCGGGGGCCCCGCGGCCGCGGCCGCCTGCGGACCTTGGAGAGACGCCGGCGCCGGGGGATTTCTGACCACGCGAAAGTGGGAGTCGCCGGAGCCCTGGCCATGAGCGCAGCCTCGTCTTCTCCTCGGTCCGGGAAACCCCTCCGGCCTCAGTAATCCGTCCCCGGAGCGAGCGCGCCGCGGCCCGGCCGCTCCCGGGCGCCCGTGCGCCCCTCTTTTGCCTTTGCTGCCGGGCGGCTCGCCGAGGGCACCTCGGTTTTGGGGGTGAGGATGTTTGATTATTTTCCCCTTTGAGGGGTGGCTGCGAGGGTCGGGTGACTTTTAGATGTCTAGGAACACGGGCAGGCGCAGGGCCCCCCCGACAGGGCTGATTCTGGGGCGGAGGAGGGTGGAGTAGGGGGTTCTGCATGAGCTCCTTAAAGGACAAAGGTAGCAGAGCCAGCGAGGGAGCGCGAGCGGAGACTCCGACTCCAGACCACAGAGCCCGAGGCAGCGCGCGCGCCGCCGCGGCCCCTGCAGCGCAGCCGATCTAGCCGCCCGCGTCCCCCGAGCTCGGGCCCCGGGCACCAGGCGACGCCGAGCACAAGCGCCCCCGGCTGCGCTGCCCACGCGGCTCACGATGGGCTCGGGGCGCCGGGCGCTGTCCGCGGTGCCCGCCGTGCTGCTCGCGCTCGCCCTGCCCGCGCTGCGCGTCTGGGCGCAGAACGACACGGAGCCCATCGTGCTGGAGGGCAAGTGCCTGGTGGTGTGCGACTCCAACCCGGCCACGGACTCCAAGGGCTCGTCGTCGTCCCCGCTGGGGATCTCCGTGCGCGCGGCCAACTCCAAGGTCGCCTTCTCGGCGGTGCGCAGCACCAACCACGAGCCGTCCGAGATGAGCAACAAGACGCGCATCATCTACTTCGACCAGGTCAGACCCCCGGGGGCGCGGGGCCTCGGGAGGGCGCGGGGGGCTCTCCGGGCCGCTGTGCCGGCTCGCGCGAAGCGGGTGCGGTCGGGATGCGGGGCCCTGAGGCGCGGGCCTCCCCGACCCTGTCCGGGACCGAAACTTCTAATGTCTCCACGGTCCTCACCCCCAAGCCCGATGCGCTCTCGAGCCCCCCGCGAGAGGCCGCCGGGGCGGTGGGAGCGGGAGCCTAGGACAAGTTGCACAGCAACAGGTTCCTCGGAGCCGGCGGGGAATCTGCTCCCCGGACCTGGCAAGCCCCTGGGCACTGCCTGGCCCCTCTGGCACTCCACTGCGGGCGCCGCGGAGGGGCTGCCCGGGGCCCTCGCAGACGTGAGATGAGGGTTTGTTTCTCCCCGGTGGAGCAGCGCCTCCAGGAACATCGGGGGGCCAACCTCTGCACAGATCTCGCAGGTGCCCAGAGCGGCGGGGAGCTATGGCCCCGTCCCATCTTGCCCCTCTTTGGCTGCCAGGATCCCCCTACACATTGCAGGCGCGCTGCAGCGGAAAACCTTTCTCTGGTAGTTGGAGAAAAGTTGCAGAGGAGGAGAGAGGAGACCTGGCTGCTGCACTGGGGAGCTGGTTCTCCCTTCCCGTGGCTCCTGTTCTCCAGAGAATTGCAAATTACTGGCGCCAGGTAGACTTTGGGGTTGGGAGCAGGACAAGGGAGAGGAGCTGACGGTGGCTGTGGCTCCTTTTTAGAGACCCAGAGCTCTGGGATTTGGCTCAGGAGACACCCAGCTATCAGCCTAGCTTCAGCAGGAGTCTTAAAACTGAAAACCGTCCCTGGGGTTTTCAGGTGAGCCCTAAGAGCACCCAGAGTCTTTTAAATCCCCAAAGCACCGGTGCAGTTCGCGGCTGTATGCCAAGGCAGCCAGGAAACCCACAGGTTAAGTGGTGCTGCGGGGTGTGCGGGAAGGACCAGGGGCATTTCTGCTCCTCACTTAATTGTTCCTAAGTGGTTCACAGTCCGGCTGGTCCGAGGCAGAGACGGCCTCTCCGCCTTTCTGTCCAATAGTCAGACTTCAGAAAGAATTAAGCTGCTCCTGTGGGGTTTTGGTGCAGTATTTCCATCTTGCTGGAAATAAAGTCTCAGGCCAGCCCGCCGGTGTGTCAGTGCGTTAATTAAGTGCTGGAACCCCGTGGGCACTGCCCTGGCCTCGGAGCAGGCTTTCTTTTCGGTGACCTTTCTTTCAATTACACGAGGAGAAGAGTTTGTGCTCTGTCCCCGGAGCCCTGCATCTCAGAGGCAACACGCCACAGTCAGTTAGGAAGCGCCATGTGCCTGGATGTTCTAATTACAATGTGGAGTCAACACGCAGGCTTCTGTGGAGTCAACATTAATCAGCCATTTCCATGATTGCTAATGAATTATGCTACTTGTCTTGGATTCAGGAAGTCCCCGCTAAGTGCCTCCATTTATTTTATATGGGCGAGCCTCTGTGGGGATCATTGCAGAGCCGGTGACTTGTTATTGAAAGAGCATTGATCAGGTTAGAGAAAGAAATCTGGGGCTTATTTGGAAGAAGGTGAAGTCTTGGCAAAAAATGATACACATCCTGTATTTTGAGTCATTGAGCCTGGTAGATCTGCCTGACCAGAGCTGTATTCTGGTGCATTGCTCACTGATAATATTATCTTTTTAGGGAATGATGCCAAAAGATTAAAATGTATAATTTTGTCAAGAAAGTAGTGTTTGAAAGAGATAGTAGCAGGTTGCCTTTGATATAGAGAGACTATATCTTTATAGGGATAGCTGATATTTTTGAATGCCACTGATAGATTCATTTCTTGGAGAGAAATGGAAGAAACCTTACAGCACTCACCACACCCCCAGCCCCCAGCACACACACACACACACACACACACACACACACACACCCCGCACCTTCTTTCTCATAGGAAGGAACTTACCTCTGTGACATGTACACATTTAGTTGAAGAGGTCACATTGAAATTCAGAGTTAATTTCATAACCAGTGGAACCAGGTTGAAGATCTTGGAATACAAAATGCATCATTGCTTTCTTGGAAAACAGTGACTTAACGTTGCTTTTCATTTTTGACCCTTGAACTTTAAAGAGCAGATGACTGATGCGAGGGGAATGGGTGACACTGGGTGGAACGCAGGCAGGCCCCATGCTACGCAGACCGTCCCTGCTCCTGCTCTCTGCTTTGGCAGCCTGCAAAGGCTGAGTCACTGCCAAAACGCTATAATTAAGATCTAGATGGTTTAAGAATGAAATGAAAAAACAGGGTCCCGGGGAGGTTTGGCAGGGCTGAGGGGAGCAGGCATTTGGGTCACTCTGTGTACCAACCGTTTGTTGTCACGGATTGTATCACATGGTATGGGGGTGCCCTGGCCTCCGTGGCATGTCCAGGAGTGACTGCAGAGAGCCCACAGGCGCCAATTGGTCCACTTGGAAACGTCACCTCTGGACACAGAGGAGGCTGGCGGAGGGTGGGATGGAAGTGGATGGCAGAGGCCTTGTAGCTGACTCTCCAGGTGAAGCTGATATTTACCCGCCCCCACATGTTACCTGGATGTTCCCCCGTCATGGGCCCTGCTGGAAATTCAGGCTTGGATACAGAGCAGTGACTCAATTTTTCCTCTTCTTTACTAATCCATTTTCCAAGACACTGAACAGAAAAGGAATAGAACTCAGTGTTTTATTCTCTAGGGGTCGTTAAGTTAGTTGTCAAGTAAGAAGAAGAGCTAAAGAAAGCAGGGAAGAAATGAAAGAAACAGAGGAAGGCAGGAGGGGAGGGGGAATTCTATTTTACTTACAGGAGAGAATATTGTAATAATTTACTGTTATTTATTATTTTTGTTTGTAGATTCTTGTAAATGTGGGTAATTTTTTCACGCTGGAGTCTGTCTTTGTAGCCCCAAGAAAAGGAATTTACAGTTTCAGTTTTCATGTAATTAAAGTCTACCAGAGCCAAACAATCCAGGTATGTGCCTCCACCCTCCCTCCCTCGCCCTGGAAGGGGTGCTTATTGGCCATGGGATGTACGTTTAAGTATTTAGCTAAAGGTGTTTTCATTATCAAAAGAAACCAACCACTTTTGTAGTTTATTTTAAAAATACTTAATATCCAACTTTCTTCTTGGTAACATTGTCATGTGACTGGAAACATAGGAAAAAAAATTGAACTTATCACCTTAATAATAACTAACCATTTGAAAATCATAGTTTAGCAAAAATTCAGTGCCACGCATCTCTTTAAAAAACTTTATTTCATTTAATGCATGTGCAAAAATTATTTGAACTCATAAGGAAAAACTTGTAAGGCTGATGGAACTTGAAAGTGCATCATAAGTAAATAAGTAAAATAATTTGTTAACGATTATTACAAATTATGAGCTACAGTTAACCAAAAGGAACAAATCTATGAAGGAATACTATTCAAAATACCTTTAGGAAAGGGGGTGCTGTGCTTCTGCTTTAATTCATCTACAGGTTCTCTGATGCCAGTGAGTTCTTGCCAATTACAATTCCATCGTTAGCAATATATTTTCCACTGTGCTTTCTAAGATGATGGGCTTGATCTTACCTTCAAAGACAACCATGGCACCAGTTTCCACACTGTTCAAATATGTCAGCTTTCAATAAATGATCCATGTCTATGGAATTCCAGGATGACTTTCTATCTTGTGCACGGGTTGACACTCTACACTGTGTCACCGTGGATGATGGACGAGGCCCTCTTCCACCATGTTTGCACATCTTAGTGAATGGATACATAGATCAATGTCAGATTTAATTAATTCTGTCTTTTTTTTTAACATAAAAGGAATATCTCATAAACAAATTCTCCCCAATCTTTAGAAATGGAGGTAAAGTCGAGCACAGTATAATTGAAATTGTAGCATGAAGAAGTGATTCTTTTTGCTAATTACCCTTCGTTAAGATCGTCTTAGCAGCGATTATTACTTTTAATACACAGTTCTTATTCGGGAAAACAGAGGATGTGATCACGGCACACATCCCCTGATGTCAAGTGATTTCCATCACGGCTGGGGAGTAGCCTGTAGGGATGTTGTTAGAATCTTGCTACCTCTGGGGCCAAAGGGCACCAGGTCTCCATTGACCAATGTCCACAGGGAAGCCACAGACTTACCTCACTCCCAAAAGATCGCTGTGGAAGATGAGCGGTCGAGCAGGAAGCTTCATTAATGAGTTGAAAGGAGGCCAGTCTCCACGTGGCTGGGTTGCTCTTCAGATGCTGTTCTTTTGTAGCTATTGAAGGAATTTTCTATGGAAGACATACATTTTCTTTTTAATGAAAAGGCATCGGCTCATCTAGCCCCTGCCACTGGCTAGCATGGCAGCAAGGGGATCTGCTTACTGAACAGGAGACGTTTTATCAGGTCACCCCAGTAGATGCTTGGGTTGCAGGAAGGCTTCTCAGTGATTTTTTTTTTCTCCTAGGTTAACCTGATGCTAAATGGAAAACCAGTCATATCTGCCTTTGCTGGCGACAAAGACGTGACTCGTGAAGCCGCCACTAATGGGGTCCTCCTCTACCTAGATAAAGAGGACAAGGTCTACCTGAAACTGGAGAAAGGTAATTTGGTCGGGGGCTGGCAGTACTCCACCTTCTCCGGCTTCCTGGTGTTTCCCCTATAGAGTCTACCGCTCCGCGATGTCCAGCGGGTGAGGGCGGCCCGTCTGGACGACATGAAGATCATTTTCTCATCATCGGATTGATGTCTCTTATTGATTTCTCATGGGTGAATATGGATTCTCTTTAAGGATTCTAGGCCCGTCCGAACCAATACAAAGTCTCCCAGATTACTTTCGTGTGTGCGTTTGAGTATGTTTGGATCGGAACCCCCAGCAGGCGAACCCCAGCTCTGATTAAATGTAAGCTCACGAGCTGTCTGCCGGGGCTCTTCTGATTTTAATTTCCTGGAATTACTGAATTCCTTGCAGATGTGGAATTTTATTTGTTTATTTTCAAAAGACTGCCCACCGGGTCTAAGAACGAGAACACTTGAAAGTTCGGACTTCAATCAATGGTTAGTGTGTTTCTGCCAAAGAACTGTGTGCTGTGTTCATCTATTGATCACCCTTGTTTTTATTCCTTTGGACTCTGTTTGTTTTGTTCTCCTAAGGTAACTGAGAATTGTTTTTCAGTGACGATTTTGTGTCTTCTCTACAAATAGGGTGATGGATGGCTTGCCCGTGAATTTACCCTATGAGCTCCCCAACATGACTTCCCCTAAAGAAAATAAAAAAGAATGCTTCATAGTTGTATTTTAATTATATATGTGAAAGAGTCATATTTTCCAAATTATTATATTTTCTAATAGGAAGAATAGATCTTAAATCTGACAAGGAACAAGTCTCTTCTCCGTGTTCTCAGTGCTCAGTCTGCCAACCTCCTCTACCAGTTCTCTCCTCCCTGGGAAATCTTACAGTTTATTGCTCAACTTTAATTAACATGATTGATAATAACCACTTTATTGGAAACCTGAGGGATTTTTTTTTCTTTAGACATGACCACTTTATTAACGAGAGATGGGATGCCCTTGTTTTTAATTATGCCTATTTTTCAAATCTTCTCTTATGTTTCAAGTATCATCTGGTTTTGCCTTAACTCCTGAAATTGTATATATTTCTCTGTTGAACTAATATTAAATCCTAATATCCCATATCTAAACTTAGTGCAATATCTTATTTTGTCTTTTGTACAGGTCATAGGAATTCATAAAATTATTTATGTCTCTGTTATAGAATAAAGGTTAATATATGTTAGTGGACGTGTTTTGTCCTTTTGGCTTTGGAAATCATGTTTTCTACACGATTTATTTCCTCTCTGTCTTTCACCAACCTTCCGCCCCTCCTTTTCTCCCTCACTTCTTTCTTTCCTTCCTCTCATTTATTTTTTTCTGGAGTTTAAAGAAAGCTTTCTGGATTTTCAGGGACTGTCCTTTGAATCGGTATTGGAAATCCGTACTCTGTTTAATCTGTCCAAACCCAGGATTTGTGAGTTTGCCAAGAGAATCAATGAACTTAGCAAACTCTTCTTTCCAAAGGACTTATTATTAGAAAGTTAAGTTTAAAAAGAGCCCCTCAATGCCGAGAGGGAGCTCACTGAGAATGTGTGGGGATGAGTAGAAAGACCAGCATTTCAAACTGAAGACATCTGGAAGGAAGCTCCGCCCTGTGCCCAACTCCAAAAGACAGAAGGTTGAGGCTTCTTTTTGGGAGGGACTGTTCCCACAGACATCAATTCTGGAGATCTTGCTCAATTTTCTGGTCTGCATTCACTTAAAACATATTTTGGGGGGGATTGTAGCTGGGGGCAGAGAGGAAGGTGCTGGGGGGCCAGTCGGGGAGCTGTGCAGGCCTGGCTTCCAGTACAATTGTGATTCATCACCACGCCCCAAAACTCAACCATCGCCGAAGCCTACTCCTTCCCAAGCAGAATCACTTGGAAATGCTGGCAGTGGATCCTCAGTTGGCGAGTTATTCCCCCACTGGCTTTCAATCCAAACCCTTTCTGCCTGTGATTCTGTCCTGTGAAGAAGCAGCCCCGGCGGGAGGTGCCTCTCCACACACATCTGCTCTGGAGTGATCTTTGCAGAGTTCTCCGTGCTCAGGGCTGTCTCTAGTCGCCGCAGAGACTCATCCTTAAGAATGTTATGGTTCGTCATTGTTCGGGCAAAGTGCCTCAGGAGTATTAGAGTCACCAATAGCCCCTCTGCTGGGACAGAGGAAGTCTTGTGCTGAACAAAACAGAGCAGGTAGAGATGTCTTGTGCTCCTCCTTCGGGACTTGTTCTGAATTCTTCTTGATGCTTCTGAATATAAAGGAACATTGGCCAAGGGCTTGACTTTAATTCCTAAGCGCCAGCATGCATGTTGTGCAATGCAAAATCCATTCAAAACCTGTGAAGAGAAAATCTTTATGAAAACGCATGGAAGCTGTGGCCATTGTGAGCGAGAGACTGCCTGAAATGGGCAGGTGGGGGGGACCCCAGCAGAGAGGGGAGGGTGCTAATGAGGCAGAATGAGAGCCCGAGGAACTTACTCCGAGTCCCTCTTCTAGGATCTAGGAGGTCCCCAGAGCATAGTGGTAGAAAGGTGAGATTGAGGTTAGGGAACAACAGCTAGGAGAGGTAGGATGATTTAGGGGACAAATCAAGGGTCTGACTATGTGGCTGGTACCCAGTAAGAACCCAGCTAAGGGGCCACTATAATGGCTAAAACTGAAAGCCCTGATTGACACAGGCCAAGAAGCAAGCAGGGCAGAAAGAGGACACCGAGATTGGCCCGAGGAAGGGACGAACATTGGATTTGAGGGGAACAAGTAGAAGAGAAGGCAGAGATGTGAGGAATATTTCCAGAAATGGAGCCAGATGCTCCCTGCATAGTCTCTGCTTTGAAAATAGTTTTCAGAAATTGCTCCGTCCACAGAAATGCAAATTGACACAGCATTTGCATGGCCCTGTCTGCATTCATCAATGCCAGCGGCGGCCCTTCCAAGCCGCTCCGTCTCCTCAGGCTCTTCCTTGATGTATTGATCAAGAAACAAGCAATTGTCTGCAGAAGCATCTTGCCCTCGACAGACAAACAAACTGAAGGAGACAAAGGGCCTGCTCCTAGGCTCTCACCGATTCCACCTGCTTCTGGGGTTCCCCGTCACCCCAAATTCTGTTAGACCCTGATTATCTAATCAGAATTTTGTTTGAATTCTTTTTTGACTTAACGCTGTCTTCTCCTACCTCTCTGGCCTCTGCCTCCCAACCGCTTCTTTGAACAAGTTACTACTTTAAATCCTGAAATAAACATCCTCAGCTGACTTTGCTTCAGTCACACGTCCCGCGGCCTGCGCCTGCGCTGCTTCCAGGAGGGCGCGGGCTGAAAAAGTTGGTTTCTGCTAGGCCACTGTCTCCGCTGCTGCAGGCGAACATCTCGGATTCTAAAGGTGGTTTTTTCCCCTTCGCTCCCCCTCTGATTCTTCTACAGAAAACTATGTCTTTGTGACTTGACCCCAAAGCTCTCTCGTGTCAGCACCACAAATTAACGTGCCTAAGAATCACCTAGGAGCCTGCGTGAATGTAGGCCCCAGTGCTCGGGGCGGGGCAGGGATGGTGGCTGGTGTCTCTAAGGGGCTTGCAGGTGAGGCAGGTGGAGCTGGCCGGGTCCTGGCAGGGAGACCTGCCATCACACACCCTTAAGGCCTGTCTCTCAGAGTGTGTCTGCGGCAAACACATCACGGGGCTCACTAGAAACCCCAGCTGGGGTGTAGACTCGCCCCAGACTGACTGAGTCAGAACCTGCATTTAAACCCCCCCCCCATAGTTCTTAGGTACAGTAAATTTATGCAGCTCTGTCTTTCAATAAGCCCCAAGATCACCTGCCTGCATCAGAGCTACCTGTGCCGGGCCCAGGCTGTGCCATTGCACCAAGTGCCCAGCGGATGCATACAGCTGGCGCCCAGGTATAGGCCTCCACGTTGCCGAACCAGGCACAGGTGCTCCTATTAGCCTTCCTGTTGAAAGAGAGCCGAGGGCGGCCAGCCCGAGGCATCCACGCAGGTAAACCCGGCTCTCTCCTGTGACGGGACAAGGCCCCGGGGGTGCCGAGCAAAGATGTGAGGTCACCTGGAGACAAGGCATGGGACGAGCTTTTCTGGAAATGAAGGTGAGTCCCCAGAGAAAGTGGCTGGAGACAGAAGCCCTCTGTGACAGCCCTCATTTTGTCAGCACTTGTTATGAAGTAAAGATGGGGTTACATCTTGCTTTCCTTTGTAATCGAAGGGCTCCTTCTCCAGGGGATTGCAGTACCTCCTTCTAAATACACGTGGCATTTGGCTTCAGAAGCCACTGGTCAATTGTGTGTGTGGAGGGGGGGGCTGTGGGGAGAGGGAAGGGTTGAGGACGAGAGGGAGACAGGGAATTCAGAAGGCTGGGTAACACCAGCGATTCCTAGTGGGCCAGTTAGGACATTTAAAATTCATCCGAGGGCACAAGGCTTCCTTCACAACTTCTTCTGGTCTGACTGGTGAGATTTACGCAGGGAAAATACACTGTCAGAGGCAGTGGCCCAGGACATCTGTTTCTGCGGCCTTCCCTGGGAACACCTCTTGGGACACTGACTTTCCAAGGGCTGAGAGTTTTTAGGAAAACCTCTAGGGCCTCCGACTCGCTGCTCTGGGGGCTGCGGGGGGCCTGGCGGGCAGCTGTTCTGATGTCAGCACACGAGCCACGCGAGGAAGGCAGTGAAGGGCGATGGGGCGGGTGGCGGCCGTTTCCACGTCACTCTCTTCCCCACCAGCACAAGCAGGACATCGGCTTAGCTGACCTGTCCTCCAGGGGAACCTGCTGGTTTCTGTGCTCGCGGGCCAGGGAGAAGCACGGAGCAAAGCCTTCGTGGCCCGGGGCCCATTTCGAGCTGGGCAGGGGGTGGCCTGGGCACAGCTGAGCCTGAAGCTCAGCCTGGAAACCCGCCCTGCGGATGTGGACATTAAGTGCCCATCACCAAGACCGGGTCATCCACGCGGGGCCTCCACTTGGGAGAGGGCGCGCTTGCCCGGGCCTCCCTGGGGTTTGTGGCCCTTGTTGCCGGCGTCTAAGAAGCATGCACGCTGCAGGCACAGGCTGCGCAGGCGAGAATATGTCTCCAGGCCTCAGGACAGGCCACATCTCGTCTTTATTTTATACGCAAGAGCCCACCGGCCTGACCTGACAGCTGCCTGGGGAGCCAGCACCGACGCCCAGCCGCACGGCTCCGCTCACGGGGTGGGTGGGGGGGTGCTGGGGGCCTCCATCATGCTCTGTTCCCTCCAACAGGGCCAGCTCCCTCTGGGAACTGTGTGGGCTATTTTCTTCCAAGTTCCTCAGCTATTTAGCAGCACATCGTGAGAAGCAGTCATGAGCGTGTCTGCTAAAAGAACTTGACTTTGGCTTTGCCTGGTAGCATTTTTAGCACCATGGGCAGAAACCATCATCTTCTCCTCCAATGTGAAAACACGGCGCGGAGACTAGCAGCTCACGACCAAAGACCTTGTGGATGGGGATCCAAAAACTTCACCAAAAACTGGGGAAAAGTGGATGGGAAACTCACTAGATGCCCCCCAGGCAATGAGATGGGGAGCAGGGACTTGCTCTGGTTCAGCTGTCGGTTCTGCCTCCTTTGCCTGAGGCTAAGCCAGCTCTCCGGTCATGGGTGCTGTTTCCCCAGCCAAGGTCCCCGCCCTTCCTCACCAGGGCCTTTGTGAACTGGAGGGACCTCGGAGTGGCCCCTCTATTTCTTGGCTCCTCTGATTGGATGAAGGATGCTGCTGAGGCTGTCTGGTAACCTCTCTCCAGGAAGAGGACAGCCCAGCTTTTAGCAATTCAAGGACGCTTTTCCCTCTGGCAGAGGAGAGGTGCTCAGGGTGGAGGCCCCGGGTGGGGAGAGGGCCTCAGGGCTCAGGGGCAGCATCAGAGTGCTCACTGGCCAAGGGACACAGGGCTTTGTCCTTCTGCCCCCTCTCTTGAGAAGCTGAGATAATATTTCATAAGTGGCCATAAAGGGAGATCTGGAGTCCACAAGAACCATTAAAAAGTCCGACTTCTGCAAGATTTCCTTTTCTTTGACTGAATCGGTTGTTAA